TTGCTCCATCCGTTTGTGCCATGATTGCCAAAATGGTGTTGTTGTGTCGTTTACTAATGTCATACATGTGCCCTTTTATACGTACTGCCAAGTTTCTTGAGGTGACACCCACATAATCCTTTGGCACTCCTAACTGCTGATTTTCAAAAGGAATTCTATAAACCCCAGCCTTCTCCTTCATTCTTACTTCGTCCTTATCATTTCTTAGCAATCTATAGATGTTTGGTGCTCTTTTATATACCGTTCTCGTGTTTTTATATTTACATAATCTCTCCATTACTCCCTCTACATTCCTGTTATACTTGAACTTATTAAACCTATTTTCTCTATTATCCCATTTGCTTGCATCTTGTCTGTAACCCTTGACTAATCCGTCAATTGTAGATGTTTTGTATCCTAAACTTTTCGCAACTTTCTTAATTCTGCTAATCTCCCCAAGTTGATCTTGTATGTTGGTGCAATATAAGAATGCTCTTTTAATAAGCGCCTTAAACGATGACATCTTGTATCTAAACGGATCATTGGACCATACTGGAATATATAGTGGAGCATGTGTGGATTTTAAATACACTGCCGTTTGTACATAGCCTTGTTTAAACTCTATATTAATGCCCGAGAAATGAAGATGTGTATGACTTTTCTGTTCCAGCTTTAGTTTTAACCCATGATTATTGCTATTTATCGCAATTAAAAATTCTTCAATTCTTCGGTATCCTTCCAAATGATCAATACGTCATCCACATATCTTTTGCATAATATAATGTCCTCCTTGAAGTTTCCTAGGACTTCCTTTTCCAGTTGACGTACTACTAATTCGCACAAGAGTCCAGACATGGGACTACCCATAGAAAGAGGGATGGCCGGTCTTAAATGAAGTTGAAAGGGATTATTTTAGATGGAAGACGATATTCAGAAAAACAAAAGAAAGGCGTCCCAATGGGTAGTATAACGTACGCCTCGTATAACGTATGCCTCGAATAACGGACGATGCGAACAACGGACTTTCTGTTTGGCCATTACGTGACTCGAGCAACGGACTGGCTGCGAACAACGAACTTTCCGTTCGGCAGTTACGTGAGGCGAACAACAAACTTTCTGCGAACAAGTGCGAATGATGTTTTCACTCTTTTGCCGTTGCCAATGACAATCTGCTATTTTTATAATATATTAGNATTGAGAAGCAACTGGTCAATTTTATAAGACCGAAAATACAGGAATACCCCTTTGCTATAAAAAACGCAGTACAGCTAGTGGAGAAGCTCAGGAGCATCACCCTCAAAGATAATGAGTGTATGACTGTAATGGATTTTAAATCCTTGTTTCCTTCCATAAGATTACCGCCATGTTTTTGCAAGCTAAGAGACTTTCTTTTTGCTAATATAGAAAATCCGACGAGATACCATGCACACATTTTAGAGCTCGCAAATTTGATACGTTACACATCGTTTTTTGACTTTGAAGGAGTGACATATTTGCAAGGAAGAGGGGTCCCAATGGGAGCCCTATCTCCGCTATTTTATGTGAATTGGTTTTGCGTCGGTTGGAAAACAAAGTTCTTTCCTTCTTTCAAAGATGGATGTAATTTTAAACCAATAAAAAAAAAGGGGATATGTCTTAGTTTGTTTACAGTTAAATGTAGTTATTTCATATTTGTTAAACTGGTATTTTTAATAAATATTTGCACATTCTCAATCATTAAAAATAAACATTTTCTGATCATGCACATTATCATGTTTTGGTTTTGTTTTCCATGTATTACAATAACTAACATTGTTTCAAACTTCTGATACAGATTATTGATGATATAAGTTTACACTATAATTATACTAAAAAATTTTTAATTATATAAATATCACATAGATAAATTCAGACATTGCCCTAACATTTTCATATAAAGGTTTGCATATGATTTTTAAGAACTGCAAAAGAATTTTTTTGGTTTCATTTTATACCTATTTAATAAAATAGTTGTGTAGATAAAAATTCTGAAGTACATTCAACTACACAGTTATAAATATACTAGCAGATGAGCCCGGCATTGCTCAAACAAAAACAATAGCAAAGATTAAGATAATTAGATTATAGCCAATCTTACCCGTTTTCACCAAGTGCAAAAATTAGGTCCCCCTTTTCCGAGACTAATTAGAAAATTTTTAGATATCTGCTTACCACACTGGGATAACAATAACTAAGATTCACAGCAACCACTAACCAGTGCATAGTACCACTAAGTAATAAATAACAAACATTTTTGTAACCCCTTCTGGGTTCTTTTTCTAGTTTACTAAATTCGAAAAATAAGTTGGATCTTCTCAAATCATTCATAAATATAAATTCAAATATTACGACTAAGAGTTTGAATAAAGCAAACTTATGTGCATGTGTTCCCTGTGTTAACTTTATATAGAACTAGTGGAACTGAGTTGAGTGCCACCTGTACGCAGACAAAGAAAACCGCTTTGGAAAAACATGTGCATCTTTGGGTTAAATGCGTATCGAAACGCAGTGCTTGTTTTCTTCCTGTGATGATAAACCACAGCTTTATGCCACACAAAATTCAAAAAATAACTGTTGTGTAATCAGTTGTAGTGTTACTTATATTACTGTGCTGGCAGGAACAAAGTTTTATTCGTTCCCGAACAAACAATACCCTGGCAAAAAAGCATTAAATACATTATATTATTGTGCGTTCCACTAAAGTACTCGATTATGTGTTGCTTTATAAATTTATTGTGTTCAAATTGCTAGCAAATTATTTAAATATGTATAGATTATATAAAACAACTTCAAAAAACCAAAATTACATCATCAATTTTTTTTAATCTGATTACATGACACAATTGGAATCGCTTTGTATCGATTACCTGTTTCTAATTGTAAATGCGTGTCATTCATTCTCATACTGATAACTATGCAAATATTGAAAGAAAAAAGAAATACCTTAATTTCAACACAGAGTTTTTTGTAAACAACTTCTCCAGTGATGATAGTTGAACCTTGATTCACATTTGGACCTGTATTCTTGTCCAAGGAAATTTCTATTAGTTTGGAAACGTGTCCATATTTAAACAGTTTCTCTCCTTTTTCAAATTACTTTTTCTCAAGGTTTCGGTAGAAATCGCATCAAAACCGCAGTGCCTTCTAAGTAACATTATTCGTTCATTCCAAAAAGAAGCATGTGCTGCCAAAGGTTGTTCCAAGCCTTTCTAAGAAAGGTACTAAAACGAGTACTAGATAACAAAACATGGTACTAAGCTTTCTTTAAAAAATTGACTAGTAATGTGCGATCATATTTATAAAAAGTCAATATTAATTAATATTGATAATACGATATACTTATGTGCAGAGTCAAAGATAATACGACATACGTACATGCAGAATCAATACATTAAGTCAAAATTATCTACAGTCACTTCTCGACTTATGACGAAAATTTTCATTAAAAAATTTTTAAAATGTGTCAATTTTTTATAGTTTTCGTCAAATATATATCATATACATATATATCTTGCACGCTTCTGGCGATTGATTGCATCATCTTTAGTTTTGTTCTGCAATTAGTTAGCCATCTTACATAAGCACAAGCGAAGGGTAACTGTTTTGTTGTAAGTACAGTCACTTCTCGACTTACGTCCAAAGTTGAAGACTGAATCCCGTTGTAAGTCGAGAAGTGACTGTATTGACTAATGCAGGCATTACTTTGACCGTAAACTGCTGNAGACCTGCTGCAATGTGTAAAAAGTCTGTATCTGTATGAATGTGTGAAGAAAGTGTTCCTCCACCTCCTCCTCACAACATCTGACTACCCGGCATAATTGGTGACTGCTCCATTTTCATTTTTCTTTTATGGTACAGTATCGTTATTTTATGCTGCGGAACAAATTATATGTTATAACATGTATTTCTATGGGAAAATGCGTTTTGTATAACGGACTTTTCACTTAATGAGTGTGCACCTGGAACAGATTAAGTACATTTTACAAGGCACCACTGTACTGTATAGTCACTTCTCGACTTATGTCCGAAGTTGCGAAAGCGAACCCCATCGTAAGTCAAGAAGTTACTATATTGACTAATGCAGGCGTTATGTTGTAATTGATCTGTTGTAACTTGATCTGAGTGTCAAGTCAAAGGTGGAAATTCCTACATACTTTTGGAATGTATGAGAGAGTTCTTGTATAGTCATCACCCCAGTCAGTTGTATCTGAGAGTGAATAAAGTTAATTGTTAATTAACTGTGTGTTTTTATGTGAAACAGTGTTGAAAACAAAATCGATATAAAACATTACTTTGACCATAAACTGCTGAATGTATGTATATATTATATATTATTTAAATATATACTTATAAATAATATATAAATTTATAATTTATCAAATTTCTATTTATTAAAATATATATAGTGTTNTATATATTATATATTATTTAAATGTATACTTATAAATAATATATAAATTTATAATTTATCAAATTTCTATTTATTAAAATATATATAGTGTTACATGTAACATACAAAATTCATACAGGATAAATTCATATATTGCGAGAATTCTATTATTTTTCAACAACAATCAAATAACAAAATGTTGAAACAAAAGTAATGAACATGAAATACTAAACTTTAAAATTATCACTTTGAAAAATCACTGGTAAGATCATCATCATCAGAATCTTCCTCACTAGAAAATGTTTTGTATGGTTGAAGCAGATGACGGTTTCCAAGTGTAACATTTTATCATTGTTGCTTTTAAGTAGCTCCTTTGCTAATAACAGTGCTTCACAGGAATTGGTAAGAACTTGATTTTGTAGTTTAGTTTTTATTAAATTTAATTGCAAAAAAATACGTTCAACTGCTGCACTTGAATGAGGAAGTAGTAATAACATCTATTTACTGCCAAAGTAAAGTAAAAAAATATAGAAATATAGAATAAAAATGAATGTTTTGAAAAGTACTAAATTGAAAGGAAAGGTATTAGGATTTCATAAATAATACTAGGAAAATGGTGTTGGGTATCTTGGTATTGGAACAAGTAAGAAGGTACTAGACTAGTACAAAAATACTAGGTAGAACAACACTGATGCTGCCTTTGTAGCCCTGATTCTGTTACCCGGCATCGCCGCTAGAGGTGCCTTGATCTAGTTTTGCCGTTTCTTCCACTAGCTCTATACCATATACACACTTTGATGAATGGGATGCCATATTGAACCTGTTTCCCCCTTTTTTTGCTGTTGTCTTCATTGAAGTTTTTATCCTTCACTTAGTTTTTCTGCTGTTTTATCATCGCGATAAAACACAACCCTTTCACCAAACTTTCCTCACTTTTCCAGTCGTTGCTAACGCGTCCTGGAGCAACACATATCACGACTCTTCCCTTTGAATTCTGGGCCAAGAATGTTTTTTTCTTTTTTGTCTCTTTCACCTCAGGGCTTTGTTCATTTCTTTGTTCACTGTGGTTCGTAGAACTGGTCATCCCATTCAAGGGAAAAGAGTTATGAAGGAAAGTTCTAGAATGAAACAGGAATAAAGAACAAAGAATACTAAAAGTAAACTTAAATTAATATTTACAAAAAACAACAGTGTTTACTTCCATCCATAGCAAAGCTATATCCAAATGGAACCTGTATTTTTCAGCAGGATGGGGCCACATGTCATACAAGCAGAAAAACAAAACAGTGGCTTGCAGAAAAAGAACATAGACGTTCTTCCTTGGCCATCCAACAGCCCAGAACTTTCATCAATTGAGAGTATAGTTGTCCCTTGATAATCCGACAGGTATGGGACCAAAGGTATGTCAGATTACCAAAAGTGTCCGGATTACCGAAAATAATTACATATTTCGCATTGTTTTGCTAGCAGTAACTTACAATATTCTCTACTCCAACTGTTCGAACAGAACTGCTCACATAAAACACACGAAATGTGTGTCATCGAGTAAGAATTGGATGGGGAGATTCACATCGCGACATGCTTCTGTGCAAGCAGACACGTATCGGGGACCGGTACCTTGACGGGAGGTGCGTCGGACTACTGAGCATGTCGGATTAAAAAACGTCGGACTATAGAGGGACAACTGTATATGGAACATTATGAAGAGACATCTGTGAAAAACACACCCTCGGACAGTTGAAAGACTAAAAGCTTCCATCCTAACCATTTGGAATTCTATAACAGCAGATGAATGTGAACACCTAGTCAACAGCATGCTGAAACGTGTGGAAGGTGTTTTGGCTGCAAAAGGTGATGCAACAAAATATTAAACATGCAGTGGTCTATGTTCATTGATGGAGGTGTTGCAGCAGTATATGTTTTTTTGATGTCTGTGATTCAAGTTTGACTGGCTTAATTTTGTTAAACTTGCAAGATATCAAGTTGATATTTAGCAAAAATAAAGATTAATTACTGTATATTTGTTTTAAATTATGTAAAACATTCATGCAATGAATCAAAGCTACTTTTTTTTTAAACCTATCTATTGGATGGTATGTTAACTTCCGTCTGGTCTATGTTCAGTGGTGACTACTGTAGCTGTGACAATACAATACTACTGTTTCTCTCCTACTCTATAGAAGAGTTAATATAAACATAACTCACTGTAAAACTGTTGCACCTCATTTTAGACAGGTTTTTTTTATAATATCATTTACAGAAAGATTGGATTATAAGTTTGTTTACAATAAGTTGTATTGTTTGAGGTTCTGAAAATTTTAAAATGTTCAAGAGCCTCTATTTGATAATGTAATGGCATTGTCAAAAATCCATTCTCTTCACTCTATGCTAAGGTCACTGCCATTGTACAGTATAGTTCAGCCATGATTCATGAAATGAGCCATAATATAGATTATTTTATAACTTACTATTAAATGCTTTATATTTGTTATAATTTAATATCATTATTTCAACATTATATAATAATAATAATAATAATAATAATATTTAATTTTAGTTTTTGGTTGCTATGCTTTGACTCTGGTCTGGCATAGTACACAGCCACTGGTGTGAACTGAGTATAACCCACTAAACCCAACATAAAAATAATAATAATAATAATAATAATAATAAAGTTTATTATTTTGATTTTATTAGTGAAAGCATGTCCACCATTAAATAAGCCACGTCATGGTTCCATATCTTGTACTACAGAAAATTTTGTTTTTGAAACGGAATGCCACTTTTCGTGTGATCCTGGATATACTCTTGTTGGCTCAAAGGAAAGAACTTGCTTAGCTATAGCATTGTGGGACGGATTACCTGCTCTCTGTAGATGTGAGTTTTATTGATAATATTATTACCAGTACTTCAAATATTAAAATAAATTTATTTTTATACAAAAAATTTTCAAAAATTTTAATTTTTTCTACAGCTATAAACTGCCCATCATTATCTCCACTAGCAAATGGCATTATTACACCTAGCAAATGTACTCAGGGTAAAAATAAATTTGGTGAAATCTGTCAGTTTGACTGTAAAGAAGGATTTGTTTTAAATGGACCAAGTAGTAAACAATGTATTGATCCTGGAATATGGAGTTCAGAAAACATCCAGAGCACTTGTGTTGGTAGGATATATATTAATAAGTATCATAAATTTATTATTTTTATATACGCTCTTATTCTTGAAATTACATTTTTACTGTTAATGTTTTTCTAAATATAATTGGAGGAATTGAAATTTTTTTAACAGTAGAAATTAATTTTTAATTTAAAATCTTGCAATTTTTATATATGACAAATTATTTTAAGCCATGTTTCATATGTTGATGCTAAATATTACATTTATTTATTTAATATAAATGGGTGGCCAAAACGTCTGTTAACAGATTTTTTGTCAATAGCAATTTGTGTAATTGAATAAGATAGCAATTTACTTGTTATCTTATTCAAATATATAATTACGTAAAAACCATGGAAAAATTGTTAAAAGTGATATCCTTCTTATTCAATATTAAATACAACACTTTGACACATTTGCATAAATTTCTTCACATAAATCTGCATTATTGTCAATCTCAAAAAACAGTTAACTTACTTTTGGCTCACCCTAAACTTAACACTGTATATTCGGACTGTTATACTTATATAAACTGTTATACAGTTTATATAAGTACTGTACAGTAGAGCGTTGTTTATCTGAAAGAATTCCAGTCCACAAATTTAAATTTTTGCCAGTGCTGTGCGCTGCAATCTTTGGCTATGTCTTGGGCTACTCAAATATTTTACATTTTTGATACTAAATTAACTTCTGAAGTATAATTTTTTATTGTTTTTATATTTTTCAATATATTTATTTTGTTTGTACAAAATAAAAAAA